CATGCAGTCATACTGGTAATTATTTGAACCGCTCTCCGTCGGTTCATGGAGCTCTCTCCAAGGTCCATACAGAAACTGCGTTTATAATTTGCACTTTTATCTTCTCAAATATTCATAACAGCGATGTTTCGTGTACACTTGTAGATATTTGTATTATGCTGTGTATTTAGTGATGTCTATATACTTCCTTTACATAAGTAGGATAATCTTCTTGATAAAATGTTCTATTAGAATTGAATTAAAAGTTGCTGAAGTTTCGAAGGACCATGCTTCCTACTTCAATTCATTCATTCATCCTCTCTTCCTTTCTTTCTTTCTCCCCTGCTCTTATTTCCTTCGTCCTGTTCTCTTTTCTTCTTTCTTTGTGTCTCTGTTTTTCCTTTATTTGTTCCTCCTTTTTTTTCTTCTTTTGTTTCGCCCTGAAGAATAAAGGAAGAAAGTTCCTCCGAAACGTCATAAATTTTGACAATTTCAGCAGAAGAATAAATATATATGGTGTCCCCTAAGTGCAAACATTGGAAACCTCTGTTATTTGGCAAAATGTGGAAAAACCTAAAGAGATAAAAGTTGCTTCATATCACGTGTTTCTAACCTTAAGTTCTTGATAATTGTCTCGCCTTTACAGCGCTACGCCCTTTACATATCAGTAGCAAAAACTTGCGGTGATGTTGCCAAGGTAACATAGTGGCGAAATTTGATATTTATCAGGGCGGTTTGAAGAGGGCGTGAAGGAGAGACAGATACAACATGTTTAATGTGTACCTGTCCTTCCTTCACAACCGCTTTCCCCCCCTTTACCCGTCATGTCACCCTAGATATATCGTTAACTTTTTATTACTGATATGTAAAGTGCGGAGCCATGTAACAGCTCGTCCTAGACACAACATTGCAACACATGAGTTTGTAAACACGTGATATGCAACAGTTTTCCTTCTTTAGGTTCTCCTTATTTTGATAAATAGCCGATATCTCTTATGGCACCAGACCAGCGTGAAAACCTATGGCTTGTCCCATCCACGTGTGTCGTTTTCAGACAAACAGAGGCGCTATTGCGTCGTTCTTTGGAAGGGGAAGTAAACAGTATCATATTGATAAGGCACCAAACAAATACTTGAATGTACAGGGAGTTTTCTGCCAGCTAGCCAGGCTCCCAAACGTAATGCCAGATGGCGCGCACTTGTCACGACTCTCGGCGGAGAACAAGCAAGTGGCACCGTATCTCTAATGCACTGTCATCACAGGAGTAACTTAAAGATATTCTATCGCCATGTTGGAGTCTCTAGGCGCACAGCTTCCTCATACAGAAGTATTAACTGCAGAATTAGCTAAGTGCTTCAAAATGAAGAACTGTACCTGACAAGAAATTGCGCACACAGTTGGCGCAACGCCTTGAGGTGAGTTATATCACCAGAAGAAGTTCGCAAATGATTTATATTAATGGACTTCCTTGCAGTACCGTTAGACTGCATTATTTTTTTTTTCCTTGGCACTACAGCCGCAATGGGCCTAGGCCTACCTCCATGAACTTCTCCGTTCGGTTTTTCTAGATCTTACACATTCGGTAGGACTCCTCGGCGGGTGATCAGTTCGTCGCAAGGCCTCTACCTGTACACAAACACAGAAAAACGCACACACACACAAACTAAACATCCATGCCCTGAGTGGGATTCGAACACACGATCCCGGTTTCCAAGCGAGCGAAGACAGTGCATGCCTTAGAACGCTCGGCTACCGTGAACGGCACTGCATTAATTAGAAAGTTCTATTTTAAAATTTTATAGCTTATTAGCTCTGCGTTAACTTGAATGTAACATACCTGGCCGATCTGTATTAACTCACTGTAGGATGCAATGTTGTTGCCATAAAAGGAACGGTTTCTTGAAGCAGATCAGACGTAGGCAAAAAATGGAAATAAGTTGCAACATGCTTCCATTTCGCTGTTACTCTCTTGCGTCAAAGTAATATTCTTAGCCCGTTTTATCAAACACCCACAAGCTCCGTTTTTCTTTCTCAGTGAAATATCAAGTTCCATGCCAAATACAACACATAAGCTTTTATGCCATTTGTTTCAGTTCTTATTTTTATTTGAAAGAAAAGATTTTAGCGAACACAATGGAAGAATGTCACTTTAGTTCCTCCTTATACGTAATATAACTTCTCAGAAACCTTCAATGGGGACACGCGGTAGCGTAGTTGGTTGAGACACTATGCTACTAGCCGGAAGGTCGCGGGTTCGAGTCCCGATGAGATGGATTTTTAAATTGACCTAATCATTCCCCCCACACTATGGCCGTGGGGTCGACTCAGCCTTTAGCAGAAATCAGTACCAGGAATCTTCCTGGAGGTAATTGGCGGCCGGCGCGTAAGACTGACAACCTTACCGCCATCGTTGAGCCGATTGTCTGCAGAAAATGTGGCAGCCTCGACGTCTCAAAACCCTATGGGCCTTCGCGGTCTGTTAACAGGGATGGCTTTCGCTTTTTTTTTCCTTTAATTCAATATGGATTTATGTTAGCCTTCGTTTCGTGTCCGAAAGCGTTACGTTTCTTGTTGAACGCATGCAATTCTGTTTAAACGTCCCGAAGGACTCAGTTTTGAGGGTCGTCTTGTTTAAGAAAATCCTTCAGGGCTTCGCTTCCTAGATTTCAATCTACGGCTGTCTCTTCCTACGGAAGTTAAGAGTGACGATAAAAATTTCGGTAGAAAAAGATGTTGGAAATGAAATTATCTGTATGTTGCCTTTGTGATTGCTGAGTGTTCGAAATTCCTTTGTTAAAAGGCGTCAGAACTGGTTTATGACACTTCAGAATAAAGCAAATACATTAAATTGGTGCAATTGACACAAGTGCTTACGTCATTCCCTCGCTGCGTAACAGAGTTTGGCGCATTTGAAAATAAAAAATTACGAAAATGTCCGTCTGTTGTTCGAGAATGACGTAATGACATCCGACACTGGCGAGTTTTGTTAAATCTGTCCATACCGGGGAATTCTAATTAAAGTCGGCCAGCAATAACGGACACTACATGAAGTCCATCACGCGCTTCTGCGAGCATTTCGACCGCAACTCCCGCGTTACTTGCTAAGTGCTTCACCAGAGTAAAATATTTTGAAACAAATATTGTAGAGAAAAACGAAACACGCATTTCTTGTCTTCGAAATAATTAAATAAACATCAGGGTAGGAGCCAGGGTTGTTAGGCTATGACGAATTTCCCAACTCCGCAGTTTATATAACACTTCCTTCTTGTGCAAAGTTGTCGATGTGTCGGTCTGTTTATTACGCCAAAGGAAAGACCACATAGGAAGCTATAACCGAAACCTGAGTTGCATCCTTAGAAGTAATCTTTGGGCGCGCATGATATGCTAAACTGCGGTCAAAATCCACTGTCCAGTGTTTAGTAAAATGTACAATCCATGTTCTGGACGACTAAGCAATTTTCTTGCACAGCTTTACGATATTAATAGTCCTTTTATTTTCTGAAGCAAACCGTTCAAGAGGAGTGATCGTCAAGGACACAGTACATTGTGTTTATGGTCCGACAAAACATGTGCTTCCCTAGGTCCGTGTGCCAACATCAGAGCTTCTGATTACGCCCTGATAGCACGCTTCTTGTCGCACAATGAGAAGCAATGACGCACAAGAAATTGTGACAGTTTTACCTCCAGACCTGCTGGTCTGCGCAGAAAGTAGGCCGACTGATTAATTGGACGGTAGTTTGTCTAGTGGTAAAACGGCGCGCTACTGTGACAGCTTGGTCAGCAAACAAGCAGCAGACACACACACACACACACACATCTCCCAACTATGAAGAGTAATTGCCTCAGTAGTTTACAAATTTATTTCCTCACCACGCACAAACAACAGTCTGGCGTAATGCTTCTGTACTCCACTGATGAATGTGTAACGACCAACACGTCATCATGAAGTTCGGCTTAAGCGATACAATTTCTAACTTTTATTCTTAAGATTACTGGTTCGAGTCTCACATACTATCCTAATTTAAATTTCCGTATTTTTCTCAGTCTTTTTAAGCAAATGACTAGTTGGTGCTTTGAATTATGCCATGGATGTATTCTTCCACATCCGTTCCAATTAATTGCCTACCTACCTACCACTCGGCGCTACAGCCCTGGGTGAGCCTTGGCCTCCTCACCAACCAGTCTCCACAACCAATGCGTGCTGCCATAGGAATAAACCCACTCATGATGACCCGAGGCTGGTTGTTAGGTTCCTGAACAAAATTCTTTTTACAGGATGAAGTTGTTAGCCTCATGCCCAACCCCCAACCTCGAGGACCAGGGTCTCTCTCTTAGTCTGGACCCTACCCTTTGACATTTCATGCATGTGACCCTACCGGTAGTTAAACTACCGCCGGCATAGTTCTCCAGGTCACAATAATGCAAGCCCTACCTCAACGACAAGGTGGAGGTACCTTTGGGGGGGTTTCCAATTAATTCCAATTATATCATAATTCGACATTCTGTAGTCTCACTTCCTGACAGCGTCGTTAAACAAGCTGCAAGGAATTAGCTAGACTCGTCTTGTGCTGTAGTTAAACGTACTTATAGCTAAATGTCACGTGACTGCGACACGGAATAATAATACGGCGAAGTGTGTATCCTAACATATTTACATAGTCTACACAGAGAATTAATCTCAGACTTTATTTTCCTCTAGGAATAACTTGTGAAAACAAAACCATAAGCTATATAGTGCCCATCTGTAAGCATCATTTCGTTGTAAAGGGGCAATGACTTTAAATTAGGTGCAACCGAAAAGAACGCCTCTATTTGGTGTTTTGTTGAATAAAGAAACAAATAATTTGAAAGCTTTATAAAATTATTGTGTGTATAGCGCGAAATATGAAAAATGTAGCATTATGGATTATTATAAAAAGATATTAGTAATGACACAAATTTTTGAACCTTCGTAACATTGTAGAATGTAATTATGAGCTTAAACTTAAATCTTAAGAACGCTTAGGAAGTGCATTACTTACTACTGTGTGGCGCAAACGTACTCAGATCGGCGTTCACTTGAATCTGCAGGCAACCATCTGAAATGAGATTAGAATAATTATGGTAGTACTCATTCACACGTGACTAAGTTATCGCCGTAGTCTATAACTTGAGCATTCGCGTCTCAGAAGATTTCCATCTTCAGGAATATAATGCTGTACAGTCCGCTGAAAGTCAACTGGTTGTTCGGAGGGGTTTGTCCGCCCCGCTCCCCACCTGCTTCACGAAGGTTTATTGCTTAGCTTATCTTTCGACTCTGAAGATAGGGGCGACATGTTCCTCCGAAATATCGGTTGACTTTTAACGGCCTACGTGGCTTTATATTCCACAAAACAGAACTCTTCATAACCACTGTTTTAATGACCTAAAATCTTACAGTGGCCTTCCATTTGAGTAGACGAGTCAGCATGTCTCTCTGTGAGGTGCAGTCCTGTGTGATATTTTATTGACTTATAGCTGTAAATCAAGGAAGGCTGTAAAGAACTGTACATACGTTTATATAAGTTACTGGTTTGCCACTTTATGCCAATCCGATAATTCTCCAGTGAGGAATATACTGTAGCTCAATTTATGGCGGTTAACTCGTATTCAGTTAAATCCTTGGCTAGATTCTTAGCACTGGTTCGAATCAGCTTGACTTTCTATCGTAGTTTTCATCAGTCCCTCCAAACCAAAGCGGGATCATCATTCTGGAATAGACGATTACCGCAACTTCCTTATTTTCTCAATTTATGGTCCACCAGGATCTGGGAATTTGATGCTGCATAAGCAATGCAGCTCAGAAAATGTCGATAATTAAACTAAGGAGCAGATGTTTCTGCAGTGTTAATCTTTTCTCATTTTACTCAAACGATTCATATATCCATGATATGTATACAGTGGCCGTCTTGTAGTGCACTCAGTTTCACCTGTTACTTCACGACATGTTTCGGCAACATAGTGCCATCATCAGGTGCCCTAATTACGTTAATCTATTGCATTGCTTGCCCTCATATGTCTTCACGACACCATTTAAAAGTATTTAAAAAGGCCGTATTTGTCAACTATAATAAATTTACACTCACTGAAACTTGTTAAGATTATTTATCTTATGTGTCTTAATTAAAACTTGCGTGTGGTTCATTCACCATGGGGTCGTTTTTCTTATTTTCTGTGTAAACTGTGTCTTGTGATGTGTGTTCCCTTCTTAGCTGCGATTCCTATATCCTGATGAATATTCTGAGAAAGGAGACACAGCCACGACGACGCTGAGATGGAACTCTGACAGGCAGAGGTTGAGATAATGAAAGAAAAATATTGTCATGTGTATACGGTACGCGTGAAGGATATGACGGGTTAAGTTCGGATGATTGGATTTACTAGCACCTTGGTTACAAGTTCTCTTAATCACACTTAAACACAGCGCTATCGCTGATTTACACACTTTCCAGTTCACCGTTGCACAAGCAGTGGAATTCTCTGTCTTCACTAGTCGTCTCCTGGCAACGGATCTATTGTTGCTGAAGGTAGTGAATAAGACGGCAGCGCAATGAAAGAAGAATTAATGAAGGATCATACGGAAGTGATGTTCAGTCCACCACACCTTTGAACGGTACTGTGTTTCGGAAGAAGAGAAAACAGACAAGAATAAAACGAGAACTAAAGAAGAGAGAAATGGAAACAGAGAATATACACAGGGTACATGGGAAGTAATAAGGAAGACAGAGAGAGGAAAACTAAAATAAGGAAGAGAGATATAGGGAGAGAGAAAAGCACAAAAAAATATCTGGACAAGACACAAGACGGGCAGCAAGGCCCTGCCTGACCTTGTCGTTACGCAGACAAATGGCAAGAGGACGGCATACTCGACGCGCCGCGACGTCTCCCTTGTCTGTATTAAAGTCCACAAGACACAATACAGAGAAACACTTAAGATAATTGCATGCGTTTCGGCAGATAGTCCTTGTACATTTACTTCAAGCAATAGCATTAGCATGGAAAGCAGCAGAGCTTGCGTAAGAATTCTGTTGGAAAGATGGGACAAGGCTAAGGGATTTCAATTATGCGTAAAATTCGGGTGTTGAGAGACTTCCACATTTAGCATGGCATTTACAGTATCCTTATAACCGTGTGGTCACTACTAATAACTTGTGAAAAACTAAAAGACTTTTTTACTGTGGCATGAATATCATGCTTCTGGAAAACAATCCATCTTTCAATTTAGCTGTCATTAATACTGTATTACTGACAAGTTAGACGTGCCACTAGCGTCACTGAATTGGTAAGTGGTAACATATCTGAAGAATGCAGTCTTCTGAGATGTGGCGCCGTGTAGATATTGTGTTAACCGACGTTTCGGAGGAACGTATCGGCTCAATCTTCAGGGTAGAAGAAGACAGTCTATTAGCACCTGCTCATGCTGGTTCACTCGCTGATTTCTTCTTTTCTTTTCTTTTTCTTCTACCCTGAATATGGAGGAGATACGTTTCTCCGAAACGTCGGTTAACACAATATCTACACGGCGCCACATCTCAGAAGACTGCTTTCTTATTAGTCACCGCCGTGAAAACCTTAAATCCTACATAGTAACATCTTCCTGCCTTTAGGCGACTGGGTCCCAACATAAATGGGCATAGGCCCCTTGCAGAACGTATGTTTAGAAGTTCTACAAGCGATCCCCTGCAGTTAGATATATCTGCGCATAATCAATGCGCAATGACGCTACGCAGGAACAGACTGCTGAGTAGAATATTCGGATTAAATAGTAGAAGACTGGAGGAAAGTGCATGATGATAAGCTTCATAACTTGCACACTTAGAAAAATATAGTTACAATAATAAAGTCAAGGCGGGTGAGATTGGAAAGTCGTGTAGCTTGCATGCGAGAAAATTAGATACATATAGGCTTTTGGTGGGAAAGCCAGAAGGAAATGCACCACTAGGAATGAGTGAATCTGTGATAAATTATCGGAAATGGAAAAAAGATCAATTTCTTTAAAATTCCATGATTAAGTAGGTTATACTGGGTGCGAAGGCAAGCGCTATGTATATGCTCTCACACTAATGAGGGTCGAGAGCAAGGGTCAGCTGGAGAAACTCCAGCTTCCTTTAAGTGAGGGATATGAGGATGCCAGCCCTCTGCTATCATTACTCCATAAAAAACTAATTAAGTAACAATTATCCAATTCAGTGTTCATTGTTAGTTATATTACGTCACGGGGAATACAAAATACTGCATATCACTTTTAGCGTGAGAAGAAAAACAGTTGGATATTTAGCCAAACAACGAAGTGAACTTATGGGACCAGCGCACTGTGCATTTCCTTTCATCCGCATTTCCTCTTCCGAACTAGCTGCCCTATATTGTTAACATTTTGTACTGAAGTGGATACCACCGCCACTGTATGACAATCACACGTCGAAACTCCTTAATTTCCTATGATCAGCAACAACATGGCGGACGCAAAATGTCTTGAGATAGGGATGACAGAAGGACACGTAATTTATTATCCTGAAGTTATCTTTAATACAGGTTTGTCAAAATTAGCCTATATAACTTGTATCAAGAGGGTTTCCTTGTGGAATGTATAGTAACAACTCGGTCGAAGAACAAATAATTTATTAAGGTTTGGCCTGATGACGGACGGAACGCTGGCTGTAGCATAGCTACATGCTGTGTATGAAGCATTGTTAAAAGTCAGCAGTTACTAACAGCGTTACGACGCTAAACATAATTCATAGTTAAATAATAAGTAAAAGTACAGCTGTCCTTGTACTAAATTAAATAAACACCATGCCTTGTAGATATATGTGGCAGTGGAAGTATAGGTACTGACCTCGGCACTATACGTTGGTGAGTGGTCAGCTTCACGCCCTTGTCGCTTTACCCCCAGGATAAAAGCCCCCCGATTCCAATTGGATAGGAGGTTGGATGGGTCGCAGGGCCGGTGTGGACGCTATAGACGCCGGGGATAGAACCGCGTCTGCCCGTCACTATGCTGACTGAGCTATCCGGGCTCAGTTAAATAATAAGTTTCTCTCAAGGCAACATTATTATTATTATGGCTCTACAGCCTTTTGTTGGGCCTTGGCCACTTTTTCAGCTTCTTGGTCGTATACACAGTCGGTAGAACTCCTTTGACTGGGGATCAGCCCGTCGCAAGGCCGCTACCTACGCACAGAATAAATGCACACAATACAGACACCCATGCCTTGAGTGGGATTTGAACCCATGATCCCAGAGTTCAAGCGAGGAGAGACAATTCATGCCTTAGGCCACGCGAGCACTGTGATCGGCCACAAAATAACATAGCAACGATAATAGTAACAGATTCGTAGGGGTATAAGTATATGTAGCAGGTAAGGAGGCTTTGAGGTCCCACCTTGAAATTCTTGTTTAAAGTACAGTTGATTTATTTCTCAGCAGTATATAGAACATTCCAGTCTTTCCCCTTTAACACAGCTACTGCCTCTGGGAAAACATCCAGAGTGTTGGAGCTCACGTAGGCCCCTGTAACAGAAAACTAACTTACAATGTCGACCGGCGTAGCGCAGAGTTCCTCTCTATCAGGGCTACCACCTGTTTAAACTGGAGAATTTCGAATGTGTCAGGGCAGCCACCTCTATACAATCAGTTGATCCTGTGGAATAATTTAACATATTCAGACAGTAGACTTTTGGTGGCATTAGGTACACTGACAGTTTTAAAAGCCTCTGCAATTAGATCAACTTAATTCATTTCCCAGAAGGCAGACATTGAACTCATACGCACGTTAAATGCTTGTGGCTGCATTTATTTTTACTTTTTTGAACTAAATTTATATAAGTATTTTCAATAAAAGAAATCAAGCAATAAGTCTTTAAATTAAATAAACATGTCATATTTACGTGGATATATTAATATTAAATGTGAACAAATACAGGTGTACATGTCAATTTTTCCCTTTAAGGATATGTGATCTCTCAATTGAAATTTACGTGACCAGTTAAAGTTAAGTTGTCATAATGATCAGAATCTAATGCATCACCAAGCACATAACAAAGAACAAACAAAAATCTCT